TCTTTGTTTACCCTTACCAGCTGGGGCATCATAGGGCTTACCACGATTCTGTGGGTGCTTACCCCTCTTCTCACTGATAATCTTGTAATGAGCATTATTGTCCTCTTCGTAAATCCTACAGCTATCAACCAAATCAGCAAAGACACGGATTTTTCTAATATCCCACTGCTTTCTTAATCTCCGGTGCAACCCGTTCTCAAATTTGATACACTTCGAAAACTCAGCATTTTCCTCAGTGTAATGCAGATAAAACTTGGCCAACTCAGCAAACTTGGAAACATACTCAACAACAGACAGATTTCCTTGCTTCAGCTCAAGGAACTCAATTTCCTTCTTACCACAGACATCTTCAGGTAAATACTTTCTCAAAAACTCCCTACGGAACACAGCCTAAGTGACATTCTCACCTGTAGCTTCCAATCTCGGACAAGTCTCTAGCCACCAGTCATCAGCCTCGACTGCTAGCATATGAGTCCCATGACGAACCTTCTACGCTGGAGTGAAATCCATCACGCGAAAGATTCTCTCTATCTCTTTCAACCATTCCAATGCTCCATCAGGATCATACTTTCCCTTGAACGTAGGTGGATTCTCTCTCTGGAAATTCGCCAAGCTACAAGATACAACATTCATGTCAGCATTCGGCTGATTTTCCATCGCATGAGCCATTGCTTCTAGAGCAGCAGCAAGAGCAGTATCATTCCTTCCATCCATCTCAACTTCTCAATACAACATAAACAATGATTAGAACTCAAATAACAATACTCGACTGTTAGACAACTACGACTCGACGACAAGGTCGGACCAACCTTTTGCTCTGATACCAACTTTGTAACACCCCAATTCTACCCCCAAGCAAATTATGCAAAAATAAATCAGAGTTATAAAATTTCAATCATACAAATGAATCGGGACGTCACAAATTCTTCTAATAAATTCATTGCATTCATCGTGGATATATAACACTTTTTCAAACATCGGATGAACCGTCAACATAACATCTTTAATCAAATAAATCAACATCTACGCAACGAAATTCTTAATAACATCTCTAACAATTCAGCAAATTCAAAAGCATCTCATATTAATACAAATCAATTTAAATTTCAACAACTGAAAATAAACGATCAAAAATCAGCAAACGTTCATCCCCCCGAGTGTTACATATCAGAGCAATGACGCCGACTCGAACTATTGAAGGTATACAGCATTCACTCTCAATTACCTGCACGTTACCAACATAGGGGCAACATTCAAACAGAAGGGGTGAGATATCTAACAATATAATAAAGTGCATGATAATTAATATATTAAATTAGATCAACAACATCACCACTTCTCATCTCATAATCAACAACAATCTCAACAATAATATTCATCATCAAAATACACTTCTTTATGAAATCATATAATGCGACTTAATACTATGCAAATGCATGTGGTACCATTGGAGCAGAACTCCCATCTCAAAAATTTGCCAATTAATAGAGGCATCAACAAGGCATAACCTTCATCTCAAATTTGTCAATCCAGGCCATCTCAACGAGCAAAAGCTCCATCTCAAAAATGCAATGTATACGACACAACCATGAATGTAATGATAACACCCAAGTTAACAACATTTCAAATCATCTCAAAACATCTTAAATTATCATCTCAAAACATCTCAAAATACATCTCAAAATAACATCTCAAGGGCATCTCAAATTAATCAAAATAATTCATCAAACGTCATTTATTTATAAATCATCAAACATCATTTATTTATTAATAACTCCTCATTTATAACTCAACAGTTTTTTAATTCCCTCCGTAAGTCAACTCTTCTAGCTCAAACAACATCTTCTAAGCATCTAACGTTCACCGTTCTGCACAAAATAACGCAAAGGCCATCCAACTTCTGACCACGCAACCTCTAACCAACGCTATTTATAAATTCACAGTTTCTAATGACGCAACCTCTGGGCGACACAATCTTCTGACTGCTATAACTCCTGACTAATGCAACCTCTGATCATATGCAACTTCTGATCATCACATCTTCTGACTAACCCCATCTTCTGACCAAATACAACTTCTGATCATCACATCTTCTAACTAACCCCCTCTTCTGACCAGATACAACTTCTGATCATCACATCTTCTGACTAACCCCATCTTCTGACTAGTGCAACCTCTGACCAGATACAACTTCTGATCATCATCGTCCTCTGACTAACCACATCTTCTGACTAGTACAAATGCTGACTACTACAACTCCTAACGACACAACCCTCTGACAACGTAGCTTCTAACCCATACAACTCCTAACGTCAAAACTTCTACCTTTCACTAGGCCACGCAACTTCTAACAGTATCCTTCTAACGTAAAAACTGCTACCTTTCCTTAACGTTATTATTTTAATTCCTTTTCCTGTTATCACCCTAATCAGGAATAATACGACTAATGCTATTCCCTAATTAATTCATCGTTCTAACACAGCAGCACCTGGTATCACTCTAGCATAATTCAGCGTTTTCATTACTGCTATATTCAATGTTTTCCATCATTGCATCTCACCACGATTCCATAACTAAAGCCTTAAAACTTAATCTAATCAAGACAATTCATCACCCATAATTACCCTATAATCTTACATCAATTAAACAACATCAAGACATCAAAATTCATCAAAATTCATCAATCCTCATCATACATCAATCATACATTCTCAATTCACAAACAAGACAACAATCACCTCTAACCCTACATACCAATTATCATAAACCCAATTATAGAGTTAGAACCTCACCCTTACCTTGGATTGAAGGTCACTCTACAATTCCGGTTGGATTCTCGTGCTTGCCGTTTTCCACTTCTCTAGCAGCTTGCACGTTCTCTTCCAAATCCTTATTTCTTTCTACTGTTTCTTTCTTTCTATTCCTTCAAACAAATAATAAAATAACCCTATTATTCTATTATTCCTTATTGGGCTTAAAACCAACACACCCCCTTATTACTTCTACTCTCCCAAAATAAGCCCACATTAAATAATATTACACTTTTAATATTATTTCACAACATAATATTATATCTCTAATATTATTTCTCCACTTAATAAAATAAATCCAATTAATTATAACACATTTTCATAAATATTCCAAAAATAATTTAATTAAATAATTAATTAAATTACGGGCGTTACAGGTACGACAAATTTAACAATTGCTTAAATTGGATTGAGAGATGCGCGTTTGTCATGTTTATCATGCGTCAAACACTTGTGCATATGCACTTGTCAACATTGAGTGTGATCTAAGTCCTAATTTAATATTTTAATGACAAGTTCCTCCTAAATTTTTTCTTATTTTGTTAATCGATTGTATTGAAGTCTCTAATCCTAAATTGATTGTTATGTACTTTTTTCTTTTCTATTTAAACTTCGACCCTCTTTTTTTTTCTAATTTTTTATTTTATTATTATCTCATTTTAAATATAAATAATAAATGGTCAAATATTTACTTAAATTAAGACTAAAGTACCTTTAATCTTTGCATTTAAAATGAAGAGAGATCATATGATAATTACAATGCATAATATCTCTTTTAATCCGTTAACTTTAATCAATGTTTCACTTTAATCCCTCAAATAAAAAATGTTATATAGTGACCCGTTAACTTATATTCCGTTACATATTTTAGTTCATTCCGTTAGTTTTTGAAAAAAACGTTAAAAATTGACTTGCTGGACTTTTTATAACTGACTTGGAATTTTTTATATTTTATATTAATTTAAATATTACAAGTTAAATTCTCTTATTCTTCTTCTTCTTCACAACACTAACATCATAGAATAAAATCTTTAATCAATGAGCTTTTTACACACTCACACACACAAACTCAAACACGCACTCGTAGAATATAATCTCTAAAATCATCAATGATCTCTCTCCATCTTTATCTGTCACTCTCATTCTCTTTCAATCTTACCTAACCTTTCCTTTGATTCCCTCTCTATTTTTTCACCTCCCGCACTTAAAAACAAACTTACAATTCTTCCTTTGCTTTTCACATTATCCCACTTCACACATTTATCAAAATTCCAGTCTCAAAATCTCATCTTTGCTCATTTTGTTTCCAGGGTTTGTTTCTTCAATCATCAAAATCTAATTTTGAACTACAATGTTGTTTTTTACAATCTTGCAAGCTTATGATTCTAACCTAAAATTTCATTTTTTTGAGATTCAGCTTGTGTTTTTTAGAAGTTTAGATTTTGTTTCAAACATGGATTGTGTTTTAGGGTTTTAGATTTTTTTTTAAAAATTAAATAGTGTTGATGTTGTTTATGGGAATTTGATTGGGAGATTTGAGTTGAGGGAGAAAAAACAGATAGAGTTGTATCATCAATTTGCATCTTGGTTGAGTTTTGGTGGTGGCGATTTTTTCAGCCATGGCAATGAAGAAGTGAATAAGAGAAACTTGAAGAAAGAGGAGAAGTCGATAATGAAAAAAGTTTCATGTCTCCCTTTTATTTATTTTCTATATTTTTTAATTTTGTTTTTAATTCAAAATTTCAAAATTTTACATATCTGACCTACCACCTCAGTCATAATTAACGTTTTTTTAATCCAAACTAATAGAATAAATTAAATAGTTTAATAAAAGTTTAATAAAAGTGAAATTAAAAGACTATTATATAACATTTTTTTAAGTCAGAGATCAAAGAAAAACTTGGCTTTAAGACCTAGGAACTAATTGTGCCTAATTACAATTACATTAATTAACCAAATTAATCTAGCCAAAAAAAGAAACAGCATTAATATTTTCACCTGGTGTACCCAGAATATTCGGTTTATATTCCCGGCTTCAAAATTTTCAAAACTCAAATTTTCATTCTTTCCCGCTCACACAACAACAACACCACACGTGTCCCTTACCAATTCTCTCTCTTCAAAATTCACATCATATCCACTTTCCGAATCACTCTCAAAAAACCTGTTTTTTCTCACTCACTCATCACCATGTCCACTCGCCGCAACGGCGCCGCCGTCATCGACGGCACCGTCAAATCCACCACCACCAGAACCACCACCAGATCCATAACCCCTCTCTCCACCTCCCGGAAACTCCCAGCCCTTTCTTCCAACCCTCTATCATCTTCCAAACTCGAAAAGGAAAACAATAACCCTCGTAGATCCACTTCACGTGGACCCACTTCAAACCCGCCTCAAAAACCCGTGACCCGACCCATTGCTCGTGTCGATCGAAAATCCTCATCTGCGTTTTCGTCTCTCCCGAGAGGTAGAAGTCCAAGCCCCTCCGATCTCAGTCAAACTCGCCGTGTCTCCGTTGATAGAACCGTCAGAGATCCGACCCATTTGAAATCACGCAGAGATTCCACTTTCAAACCATCAGATAAACTCAGAAGCACTGACAAGGTTAAAGATTTATCAACAAATGGTGCTAGGGTTGAAGAAAACAGTAACAACAGCAATAACAGTAGCAAGTATCAAAGTAAGCTTCACGAGAAGCTTGCGTTTTTGGAAGGGAAAGTGAAGAGAATAGCTTCGGATATAAAGAAGACAAAGGAGATGCTTGATTTGAATAACCCAGATGCATCAAAAGTTATACTTTCTGATATTCAAGATAAGATCTCAGGTATTGAAAAAGCTATGGTTCGTGTTGTTGTTTCTGGTGATGAAAATAGTAACAAGCAAGTGGATATAGTTGATGGTGTTGTTAATGATGTTAATGGGGTTGAGTGTTTGAGGCCAATTAAGGCTAATAGTTTGGTTATAGGGTTGAATAGCGATGAGCTTGAAGCTAGGTTGATTCCTCATCACAAGTTGATTAGAGATAGGACGCTGGTTAAGGCAAATGTGGAAATTGAAGAGAATGTGAGGAGTTCTGTTGATGAAAACTCGATAGCTTTGGAGTTTTTGGCTACGCTTGAGGGGACTATTGGTTATCCTTGTGATGGGATTGAAAGAGAGAAGAGTGGTTCGTCGAATAATCAAAAGTGTGATATTGATATGCTACTTGAGGCTGATGAGAAGCTTGAAGAATTTGATGATCAAGAGAAAGAGAACATAAAGAATACACAAGAGGAAGAAGGGTTTGTTGGTGATGAAACTGATGAAGCTTTTAATTTTAAGCTTAATGGGATAGGGAACAAGATTGCGGCGGCTGGTTGGTTTGTATCTGAAGGGGAAGCTGTACTTCTTGCTCATGAGGATGCTACTTGTTCTTATTACGATATTGCCAATTCCGAGGTATTGCATGCATGTAGTGAAAATTTGAGCGCTTTTTATTTAATTTCGGTCATGACTTGATTTTGTTGTTAATGATGCTGAATATTGTTGATGTTGGTAATTAATGTGATGTGTAATTCAAGAATAAAATGCCGTATTTGGGACTTGAATTCTTTGCATTCACACATGTAAATGATTATTTACCACTATTGGATGAAGATTGGACTAGGCATATTTGATTTCATCAAATTGACTTCAAAATACTCTACTTTCATCCAATTGTTAAGGCGTATGACTATGTTACCGCGTAGAATTCACTTTTCCAAATTTTTCTAGAAGATCATGTTATTCCCTTTAATCCTTGATATCAGGTTAACCTTTTCCTAGTTCCTAAGTAGGTTAACTTTTTTCTGAAATTGTTACATTCCCTTAATCTAATGGTTGATTATCATTAAGTTTTAATTGGTTTTATCCTCATAGTATCAATAGATACATATTTGGTGAAAGAATAAGATGCAATTCTGCTGCTGAAGTTTTATTATTCTTTCAGGAAAAATCTGTATATATCCCCCCTCCAGGAGTTTCCCCTAGCATATGGAGAGATTGTTGGCTAATTCGCGCTCAAGGTTCGGATGGTTGCTCTGGAAGATATGTAGTTGCTGCATCAGCTGGCAACACAATGGAATCAGGCTTTTGTTCATGGGATTTTTACACCAAGGAAGTAAAAGCTTTCCAGCTTGAGAGTGGAACATCTTTCTCTAGAACAGCACTTCGACCTTTACCGAATAATATTAGAAGAAATTCTACTACCACCCTTTTATCAGCAGAAGCTAGTCAATGGTGGTATAAACCCTGTGGACCTCTTGTTATCTCTACTTGTACCTCACAGAGAGGAATGAAAGTTTATGATGTTCGCGACGGAGAGCAAGTGATGAGGTGGGAGGTTCCGAAGCCTGTTGTTACTATGGAGTATTCTAGCCCTTTGCAGTGGAGAAATAGAGGGAAAGTAGTTGTAGCCGAAGCTGAATCACTTTCTTTGTGGGATGTGAGCTCACTTAGTCCACAAGCTTTGGTCTCTGTTCCTTTTGGTGGTAAGAAAATTTCTGCTCTCCATGTGAGCAATACTGATGCAGAGCTCGGTGGAGGGGTCAGGAAAAGGTGTGTTTAATTTCAACTTTCGCTTCCTGCTCTAATTTTAACCTACCATTTTTCTGCATTACTTTGCCACTATTATAGTGTATTCTTGTTTGCATCGCAGCAATATTTTTCTATTTTAACTTTCTCCTGCCATTTTCATTGGAAAACTCTCATTTTCCTCTCATCGAAACAGCTTATTTCTTACTTCAGCAAACCTATGAATCTGTTGCTGTATCGCGAATGTCTTATTGTAGTTATCTTTCCACTAAGAAACAATGCTGTGTTCATAATGCAGAGTAAGTTCTTCAGAAGCTGAAGGAAACGATGGAGTGTTCTGCACATCAGATTCTATCAACATATTAGACTTTCGTCAAGCGTCTGGCATAGGCCTCAAGATACCAAAACACGGTCTCAACATACAATCTATTTTCTCCCGTGGAGATTCCGTCTTCCTCGGATGCACCACTTCCAATCCAACAGGAAAAAAACAACCTTCATCACTGATACAACAATTTTCATTGCGAAAACAAGAACTATTCAGCACCTATGCATTTCCAGAATCCAATGTACACTCGCATTATGCAGCAGTTTCACAAGTTTGGGGTAACTCTGACTTTGTCATGGGTGTTTGTGGCCTAGGACTGTATGTGTTTGACGCAACAAAAGATGATGTGGCATCAAGGGTTCTGAATATGGATTATGATACTAATAATGGTGAGAATTTTAGGGAAGTTGTTGGTCCTGATGACTTGTATTGGCCTTCTTTCGATTATATGGGATCTCGGTCTCTTTTGATATCAAGAGATCGACCTGCTATGTGGAGGCATTTAATAGTATGATACTAACTGATGTATTTGTAGTAATTAGATGCATTTGTTAGTCTTACAAATTTGCAAAACACGAATTTGGTTTTTAAGGCTTAATGTCTAATTTACGGTTTTCCTCTTTGCTATTCTTTTTAAGGATTATGTATATTTTGTTTTATTAGAGAATAGTGTGTTTGGTGTGGATGTTTGTTTTCTTAAGCAAAATTAATTAACTTAATATTTTGAGATAGTATTTAGTTCTATGCTGTTCACCCAATGATGGACGTAATGATTTTGTAAATAGTTTGCAATTGATTTTAACATATTAATAAAGTCAGACCTTCTAAGATTAAGAAGGTACCGCGGAGTATTTTATAATATCTAATTTGTTTGTAAATTTAAGGTTATTTCAACTTTGCATAAGTATAAAGATTTAGAAGAAATGATGTGAAATCCTAATCAACAGAGAACTTGGATGAACATATAATACAGAATCAATGTTTGATGGTAGAATATGAGCTACTTGGGAAGACTTAGTTCACAAAGAAGAAAGAAAGTAGAAGGATTGAAGGGAAAGTGAAAGAGAATCAGGAAGTTTCTTCTAAAATATGTAGGATTTGATGAGAGCATAAGTGAGATGAAGTATGACCAATGGAGCCTTTGATGTATTTTAAATTCTTCACAGCCACCCAGTGTGACTTAAGGGGATGAGCCATAAATTAGCGCACCTTAATCACAGAGTATGCAATGTATGGTCTTGTTAAGGTGGCATACTGCAGGGCCCCAACAACAAACCTATACAAATGAGGATCAACAAGAGCAGAATAACCAATTTTGGTGAGTTTGCAGGTGGGCTGCATAGGTCTGTGTACATGGCTAAAATCAAGCATATTTGTCTTTTGTAAATGGTCTCTGATGTACTTTGACTGAGTAAGGAGAAGAGAATTAGAGGACACACGTTTTACTTCAACGCCAAGGAAGTAATTTAAGTCACCAAGGTGTTTGAGTGAGAAAACCACATTGAGTTTGGTAATGATGGTTTGTAAGAGAGAAGATGAGCTGTCAGTGATGATTATATGTCCTTTAAAAGAAATATGTGAATAAGGAAACTGTTGCATACTCCATATTCTATCACAGCAAGACATTGGGTTAGGACTTCAATTTCTGGACACACTAGAATGATGAGGCACATTTTCAGATGAGGAGACTGACCTGTTAGCTATTTCACTTGAAGGAGTTGGATTGAGTCATTATTTGAGGAAACAAGTGGTGAATGAGATGCATTAAGCGGAGGAGACTCAACTGGTCTAGGAGGAGACTCAAGGAGATATACAGAGAGGTAGGAGAGAGACATTTGAGGGAGAAGAAGAAGGTACAGGGTGAGGTTGAGTGAGTAACTCTTTGTACGGAAATCTCAACTCATTGAATAACACATCTTTAGAAATATATAGTCTTCCACAAGAAGCTAAACACATGTACCCTTTATAAGAAGTAGAATAGCCAAGGAATAGACTTTCTTGAGACCTAAGTCCATTTTGTTAGTGTTGTAGGGCCTGAGTAAAGGGAAACAAGCACAACCAAATACTCTTAGGAAAGTATAGTCAGGTTTAAGCTTGAATAAGACAATGTAGGGGCTTGAAAATCAATAAAGGCAAGAGGAATTTCTATTGATTAAGAAGGCATATTCCTAATAAGTGAGATGTAGAGAAGCTTAACTTAGGATAATGAGGCCCATATCAACTATGTGTCTTTGTTTCCTCTCAATGTCACCATTTTAGTGATGAGTATGAGAGCATATAACTCTATGCACTATGCCTAACTCGATAAGTACTTATTAAAAGGTCTAAACTTGCTCTCAATAACTGAAACAACATTAGTAAACTCTGAAGGTGAGCCTTCAAGAATTAATTCTATGTCATGTGATGCAGAAATTGTATCTCCAATGGAAGCTAAGGAGTCCAGAATAGTATGAAGTTTGAGAAAATACTCCTGGACAGTGGAATTGTCAAGCGTTAGGGCATAAAGCTCCACACGAAGTTGTCTAGCTCTCGCACGAGTTTGTTTTCGAAAAAAGTTGAACAAGCGGTCCCATAGCTAATAAACACGAGTGCAACCGAGAACACGCGAGAGGATTTCATTCGAGAGCGTTGATTGAATTCAGGAGAGAAGCTAATCCGTACTCTAATAAATTACATTGATGGCTATAGTAAGATAAGCTACTCGTAACGTAGAATACATCAACTTGCATTACAAGCAACTGCAAGTAACTTCTAACTAACTTTTCATTGAGATTGGTAACCACTAACTAATCAAGGATCTTGAAGGGTAAAACTAAACTCTTCCCATACTATTATTGAGATATCTAAGTACTCTACAAGATTCACCGACGGGTAACTCAAAAACAAACTGAGTATTTGCGTGGCCAATGTTATGAACGGTCCAATAGTATTGAGGTAGAATGGTTTTCCTATTTGTGCAATACAACCAAGTAGAAATTGGATCAGACTATGAATATGGAAGTATGCGTGTTCATCATGTATGACATTTCGAGACGGAATTTTTTTCCCAATAAATAAACCCGCCTCTTTTATTCCATTGTTGAAACTCAATGAAACATTCTTTCTAGCCCATGATTGCATTTTGGTTAGATGATTATGCAGTAGAGATGCATAACAAAGAGCCAAATACCATTAACATGAAGAAGGGTTTGTATTGGTGCAAAGTGCAAACAACGATAAGGGAAAATAGGTTCAGAGTTCAAGACTCATGAGACTTGAAATTCTGGACCTATTTTTCAACTGATGTAGTACGTGATTTATATATGAGTTTGTATAGGTAATATCAAATTACCTAAAAAACTTCTAATTGAGTTTTGAAAACAATTTAACAAGATTTATCTAGAACATGAAATCCAAGACCAAAAGTTGTATACAAAAGTCATAATATATATATAGAACAATGCCATTTGTAATGCATCGTTTACATCACAATTGGTTATACTTCAACTGCTATCCGATTAATGTAAAGAGGTCTTACACATTCAAAACATTATTCTCTTTCAGCTATTAACATCCATTTTCACCTCAACATGTCTACAACACTATGTACATGTATGAGAGAATAATTTGGCTCCCCGCAGTAGGCATTACACGCATTCAGAATTTCAACGACCGTTCGATCAAGATATAAATTATAAAATAAAAGTTAAAACTGACTAATCAAGTTTAGATGGTCACATACGTCCCGAATGCGTAAATGCATCTGTTTGATTACTGCAGAAAATCCAATTTCATAAGAGAAGCTCCCCGGCTAATCTGAATCTGCATCACGAAAAGGTAACGGAACCGTCTTCACTGCTCTGTAATGACCAACGTTGTTTAGATGCTCATGCTCCAACCTGATTAAAAAAAGGTTAAAATCATAAATAGTTCTTCGATTCTTATCGCTATGATGTTAATGTTTTAGGTTCTATGATTCTTATCTTGTAAAATTGTTCGAGAAATAGTACCTGTAGAAATTCCAATGTCCTCTTCTAATAACCTCCAATGAAGCTAACATAAAATCCAACAACCTTGTTTGAATAGGCCCAACTTTGAAATGCATAACGGTTTCTGTCCAAGTCACTCTTAACACAACATTTAATGCCTGCATTTTGATATCTCATAATGTTTTAATTAAAAGAAACAAGTATATTCTAAAAATAATTTAAACATTGAAACTAAAAAGAGGTAAATGGAAATTACCATAGACATGTAGTATATGCTTTTATTCTTCAAAACTAAATCATCTCTTAGCCATGCATTTCTTGAGTTAGGATTAAGAAATCCCCAATCTTTGACAAAATCCCAATACAGTTGATACATTGTAGCTGTCACAGATGTGATTATAACAATAAAAAACATTATATTGTTATCTTGTCTTCCATATGTTACTCTAGCTCCTGCTGCAACCATTGCAGAGATATACTTCCCCATGTTCGCCAAATGCGCAACATCGCTGTCATCATACCATCTTCTTACACACTAGTATTCACATTCAAATAGTAAAATTTAATTTAGTAATAGAAAGTTTAGAAATATAGATTAGTACTAAACATTAAAGGGGTATTAATATACCTGAAGGGCACGCCAAAAATATGGCAAAAATGAGATAATGTAGGTTATTTCCATGTATAATCTTCCGGAACTACAGGTTTCAGGGTGGTGTGTTTTGAAAACCCGGGATAAAATATGACAACTCGTTGTTTCCAAATGTCTTAGCAATGGTATCTGTATACGATGATATACAAAAAATGTTCTTAAGAACTGTAACGGTAAACAAAGAAAAATAATAGGATAAATTCGTTGAAGGATAAAAGATTTTACCTGACTAGTTAGTTGATCAGCCATAAAAAAATCCACCAGAAGAACCTGTAGGAATAGTAAATCGAAACAAACAATTAGCACTTTCATTTTGTACACATGAAGTATGTTATATCGTTATCAATTTATCTAATTGTTCGAAAAAAGATAGTATAAAGAAAATATACCTTATAAAAAGGAGAACAGATAATGTTACGAATAACGCGGATGAAGCAGAATCGAGTTGGACGATAGAAAATGTCTAATGGGCAAATGAGCATAGCTATGAAAAACTGAAAAAAATACAGGTAGTTCATAAAGTGTTAGCTCAATGATAAAAGTATGATATTATAATATGTAGCATCAAACGACAAAGCTCAAATTTATCAAGAAACTAACCAGAAGTAGAATTCCGGGAATGGCGTCAACATTGCCAGGAAAAAACCCCGCAGCCCTTAGAAGAAGGTGCAAGACCATCGCTCCAACCACAGCAGTCATAAAGACAGTACAAATCAGAAAAGCATCTCTATGCTTTAGCGCCGTGGTCGGCGAGAATTCAAATATGAAATTATGATTTATTCTTGTCGCTTTCCACATATATAAATTGCATCCGTACATAAACAAGTGTAGACTAAACAATGCAAATACACTGCATAATATAAAAATCATTGTAACCATTAAATTAAAACCTCATAAAATTTATATTGTTTATATAAAATAAAATAAAATAAAATCTAGGAACTATGAAATGTTGCACCTGAAAACAGGATAAACTGCTTCCATATAAGCTGGTTCTGTGTTAGGAGAGAATATTCCACACAAGTGTGCCAAGATTGCATAGACACAAAACAATGATACAAAACAACCAGTGCATAAACCTGTATGTAGTTGAAATAAAATTGTTAAATTAATTTAAATTTTAAGATGAGTATATTATTAAAATTTTTATTGAATATATAAATTATATAAATAGTTGAAGTTATTACCGACAAAGAAAGTGACCATATGAGAACCTTTCTGCACTTGAGGTTTTAAAAACTTCATTGCTTTTTTTCTATCATTGCTAGTAAAGTTCTTTGTGAAAATGGATTCCACTTCATCCATTAGTCTAACAACCTTTAATAATGACAATAATAATCAAAATACTATATTAATATACAATTAATTAACCATTAATTATTATATTTATAACATAATGTTAATATATAAAATGAAATACCTTATCTGAACTGATGAAATGTGATCTTTTCACTGTTTTTAAGTAACTAGCAGAAGCTGTTTGGCATGCTACCTGGTAAATAGAGATATAAATTTGTTGTAAATTTTTTTATGTACTTTTACATGTTCTTTTCTTGTACATAGAACATGTGTAGATATTTGAAGGCATACCTTGTCAAACTTTTTGAGGATCTTTGAAAATGCAACTATATTCAGTGAGCTGCAAAAATGAGAGAATTTGGCAAGTGCTTATGTTAATTTTGGTAAAGTCTATAACCAATTCAATGAAACATACATAAAAAATAAGTTACTTTGAGAAATGAAACATTTAGATACGTTGGTGAACTAACAAGTTTGTTATCAACACGTTATTTCTCTTATTTTGAGAAATAAATAATTATACCTGTAGGTTTTGAGAAGGCCAAGACCTTTATAAAGCTCAACAAAAGCACTTCTAATCATCTTCTCAGCATATTGGATTTTTCTCTTATTAATAAACTCACCATACCCATCTTTTACAGGACTATTCACTAAATCTTCCCACAAAATAGAAGTAACAGCTGTGATAGCCTTTGTTGGAGTGGTGGCCGGAATATCGATCCTCATTGCCGTTTTAGGCTTTCCTTTTTTCGTCTTAACTCTCGTAGCCGAGTTCACAAAATTCACACCATTTTTCGCTAATGTCGATATCACTTCATCCATTTGTGAATTTTCTGAATTTGTTTCATCTGATTCTCCACAACTTTCTGTAAAAAATAGTTATAACGGTTTATATGTTGCTCATGTATATATAGAGAAAAAACATTAATCATAACACATACGAAATTTATATTTTTCCTTTTTATAGATCTATAATCATATGTGTGATGTTGACATTGATGTCACTAGATTAGAAATACAATTTTCATGGAGTCAAATAAAGAAATTTTATTTCTATACGTTGCATTGAATCAACAAGCACTTGGAGAAAGGTGAGATATGAATTGACATCAAATATTTCTTGATAGCATATGTATATATACTAAAGATTCATTTTTGGATAGTGACAAAGGACTCAGAAAAAGATAAAGATTTTAATCATTGTAAGAATGTTTTAACTTATGTGTATTTAATGATATACTGCCACACAATTTTTATGAGTAAAACAATATCTTTGTTTTTTTTTTGTTTTGTCTCTAACCATTCATGTTGCTTAATGATTGATTCACAAGGCAATTTATGAACAAAATTATCTTTCAAGAAATTTAACACAATTACTGAATTTCATCAAACTTGTACTTTAATTAAAATTCATTAAATATAAGATCAATTAATCAGTTTGTCAAATTCACTTATACTTTACCCAAGAATATTTGCAGGTTGAATTTAGTCTAATTTGATCGAACTTAATATTCAAATTAATTATTTGTTTTTGTTTGGATTTAGTCCATATATTTTAATTCTTAATCTGAGTTTAAAATTATGCTCACATAATAATTTTTAAATAAAAAAATGTATATTATAAATTTGTATAATAATTAATAAAAATTATAATATTTGTAATTAATTTGTATTTTTGTTGTTGATAGAAGTATTTGATTTATATAAAATACATCATCTAGTAATTTAATATCTCAATTTAAATAATGCAATTAATCATTTTAAATGAGACTTGGTTTTGATTTTTATAACTAATAAAAAATTATAATATTTGTAAATTTGTAAATTTGTAAATAAAAATTACGCAATAAAATAAATAAAAATCCTAACCCAAATAAAATAAGTTAAAACTAATACACACCAAATAAAATAAGTTAAAACTAATACACACCAAATAAAATAAGTTAAAACTAATACACACCTAAGTGCAACAGAATATCAAACCGCAAAAGACACTTGATGATCATCTAGAAAACTAACCTGAATAATGTGAGCTTTGATCCGGAGACCGAGAGAAAACCTCGCCGTTAGAACTCCTCGTCGGAACATTATTTTTCCGTCGCCGATCAGTCATAAGTTGTTTGAGATCAAGCAAAATCTGAAGCTGTTTGGTTAACATATCACCCCTCTCAAGAAACTCATTCTCTTGTTTCCTGTAGAATTGATTCACCTTGTTAAGCTCTTCATCTAGCGTCGCGAAAAACACATGCATTTCATCCTCTTCAGAAAACAATTGCGCCAGCTCGGTTTCATAAATTTCTTCTTCACTATCCTCCATTATTTTCCTCCTCACCTATGCAAAATTAATCAATTAATTAATAGGTTATCATTTATTATTTAAGAGATACTCCAATCCAATACAATGGAACCAAATACAGTGGAACGAGTCTGAAACATGAATGGTAAAGTACATTATGAAAAGTATATTATATATATATATATATATATATATATATATATATATGATGAATTCATGTGTATGTAGTATCATTTTTCTTGTTTTTTTTATGGTCCCCAATTATTTTATGATATGGTGTGGTATGATATGTGTGAAATAGTGTTTTCTATAAGTTTCAATAATGCTAAACTCGTTTTCATTAATTGCTTTCGTGAGAGAATGAGAAACTCCCAAAAATGAAAAGTTGAAAAAAAGAAGCCACTAAACTAACTTTTACTTACTTAATGCTCCTCTCGCTCTCGCTTCTTTTTGACTCTTATTTTATTCACTAGATCAAAAGGAGTTAGTTTTTTCTCAAACCTTAAACAAAGAAAACATTTTTTTAACTATAGAAAAAAAATAAGTTAAAATAAGTTAGTAACATAAATTTTTTAAAAAGATAAAATATTCTATAGTGTTTAAATAGTTGATTCTTGAATAAGTTATCACAATTATAATTGCATTAATCATGTTTTTTTTTTCCTTCCAATCGCAGTTGCGAAGGAACGAATCGTAATCCTCCATATTAAATATAGCACCAATCACTACAGAATCAATTAAAGGCTAATTATGTATTTTTTCTTGCATCACATTTTTTTCACATTCCAAAGTGTCATTTCGTCTTCAATAATTTTCAAATAAAATATTGATGAGGAATATATAATTTGCGTAAAAACAATGATCAAAAACCATATATTATCTTGACAAAAAGAAACTGAAACTTTATACTATTATTTGGTGAATAAAAGCTAAGTATATCTATCAAAGAAAAGATGGAAAAAAAGTGTTGGAAACCATTTCCATTTCATTTTCCGAAAAAGATGACACTTATTTCATTTTTGTTGCAATAAGGTTAATTATAAAACACACTCACTCTACAAAACATAAAAAAAAAAACATAAACGCATGCAAAGGTTTCAAGAGACGCCCCTAAATAAAACTAGTCAATATACCTGAATGATATTTTGTTTGTTGTTGTTGTCTGAAGAGGAAAAGAGTTTATCAGCCACGAACCGAACCGAATCGAAAATGGAGTAACCGAAGTCTTTTTGAGGAGATTGTTCATGTTTAGGAACTCTAGAGAGCTTGATCTTCTTGATTTGTTTCTTGAGCATCTTGTAGTTGACAAATGCGTCTTTCCATTCTGGTATTAGTTGAGCTTCGAGCTCTTTTGAGAACTTCACCATGTTTCTCTCTATGAGAGAGAAGTAAGGTGAGGGAGAGGGGGGGTGTAGATAGGAGAATGAAAAGAAGAAAAAGAAATTGTGTGTGAAGTAGGGTGTGCAAGGTTGTGAGATTGGTGTGAAGGGATTTTATAAGAAAATGAGTCGTATAGACAACATTTACAGGTGCTTGCTTTTCATATTGTATGCTTTTAATCACTCTATACTTTTGAGAAGCATGCAATAAATGAACCATTTTTAAATTGAGTTTTGTTAATAAAAAGTATATTAATTGTTAAATTGTAATAGATTGTTAGATTGGACGTTAATACGAGTTTGAATCATAATTTTTATAATTATATGTGTAAATTTTTAATAATTATGATAATTTCGTCTCCGAGAAACAATAAAATATATCGATAAAGAATCTAAGTTTTGTTATTTAAAAAATAGAGAGAAAATATTTTACTTGATAAAATTTTGATGTAAATACGAGTCCGTTTCTTTAAATTTAAAAAAATTAATTTTTAAGTTATTTTAAAAATAGTTTTTAATTTTTTTAAAATTTGTTTTTATAAATTAAAAGATTAATCTAATATCATATAATAAAAATATATATTATTAAAGATTAAAACATAGTCGAAATTTATGTTTTTTAAAAGTTGTATTTCAAAAATAGCTTTTATGAATTTTTTGAAATAACTTTAAATTTAAGTGAGTCTTTTAAAATTTTAGTATCTAAAAAATTATATAAAAAAGATATATTATTTAAAATAATATTTTAAGTATAAAAATTTAAACTAATTTGATATTTTTTAATTTTTTTTTAATTCAAACATAATACTATAAAATTCATTTAAAAAATGGAAAGAAACGGATCCTATATTATTTATTATTGATTAAGGAGTTACACCAATAATTTGATAAAATATGTGTATGTTTAAACAATTTAAACTTATATACACAGCAACAAAAACGAATTGAATAAGAAATTCGAGTATAAAATTACATTTAAACTAAAACATAATAAACCTCAATTTTAAATTAAAATAAATTATATTAAAATAACAATTAGCTATATCGAAATTCATTCTATACTCTAATTACTTGTGACACCCACATAAAAATAGATCCCAACATACGCCAATATTATTCTAAATAAATACTCTAAAGAGCAAGCAACATTCATATTATAATCAAGATTCCAATGTAAATAAATATGTTAGATTTATCTATATTTCCTTTTCCCTTCACTTTTTTTTTCTCTAATAAATTTAAATTCCATAATTAAAAATCATTGAATCTAAGCACCTAGTTTTTTTGTTGAGAATTTTTTTTACACTTATTAGTTTTTTTTATAGGTCTTTGACAAAAAATCTAAAATATTCTCAGAATTCAGATGTGTATATCCGAAGTCATTTTATTTTATCAATAAAAGGTGACTTCACATGTGCATATCCAAATAAATTCTATAATTTAACACTTCAGTTGTATATATTCGAAGTCATTTAATTATTATAAGTAGAGCGAACAGAACATAGAACCCATTTCATTACAAAATCATAAACCTTTTCTACTCAAAATCCTTAATTTCTACTACTCAAACTTGAATCATCTACTCATTCCAATTCATCTCCTCATTTCTCCTCATTTCAAGTCATTCCAACTCATCTCCAAAGCTTCAATTAAACTAAAACATAATAAACCTCAATTTTAAATTAAAATAAATTATATTAAAATAAAAATTAGCTATATCGAAATTCATTCTATACTCCAATTACTTTTAACACCCACATAAAAATAGATCCCAACATACGCCAATATTATTCTAAATAAATACTCTAAAGAGCAAGCAACATTCATATTACACAATCAAGATTCCAATGTAAAAAACACAAAGATTCCAATGTAAATAAATATGTTAGATTTGTCTATATTTCCTTTTTCCCTTCACTTTTCTTTTCCTAATAAATTTAAATTCCATAATTAAAAATCATTGAATCTAAGCACTAGTTTTTTTTTTAGAATTTTTTTTACACTTGCTAGTTTTTTTTTATAGGTAATTGGTGAAAAATTTAAAATATTCTCAAAATTTGGATATGCATATTCGAATGCACTGTATTTGTCAAGAAAATATGTTTTTGTATATGCATATCCGAAGTCATTTTAATTTGTCAATAAAAGGTGACTTCACATGTGCATATCCGAATAACCCCATAATTTAACACTTCGGTTGTGTATATCCGAAGTCATTTAATTATTATCAGTAAAGCGAACAAAACATAGAACCCATTTCTTTACAAAACCATAAACCTTTTCTGCTCAAAACCCTTAATTCTTACTACTCAAACTTGGATCATCTACTCATTTCTATTCATTCCAATTCATCTACTCATTTCAAGTCATTCCAGCTCATCTCCAAAGCTTCAAATTTGTGTAAATTTTCTCCATTTCAATTTGATTCACTTTGCAATGATATAATAGTTTATTAGGTTAGTTAGAATCAATGATATTATGTAGGTTGATTTTAGAGTAGTTAAATGTTGGTGTTTGGGTGACAAAATAAGGTTTTTGGATGGATTAGGGCAAGAAGAAGTACCTGTCTGAAAATGGTTGTTCGCAAGTGGTTTCGGATGTGCACATCCGAAATCCCTTGACCAGTTTTGAATGTGCACATGCGAATTCTTACATGAGTTGTTTTCTTAAACCAAGATATTAATAATTATTATTTTTCAAGAAGATGACTGGCAATCAAGACCCGAACAATCGAGTGAGACTTGGTAGGCCAAGCCAGACTGCCTCTACTCGACGTGAGAGAGTTGATCAACACGTTAACATGCCTTGAGGACGGGGTCAAGTACGACATGAGGAATTTACTGGAGGTTCTACTTCTGCATCGAGAAGTCGCCTGTCACAAGCGTCATCCTCTCGTGCACATGAGCAGATACCTGATGAGGAGCAGGTACCCGAGGAGTTTGAGGTACCCGAACACGTTGAGGTACCCGAGTATGTTCACGTACCCGAGGAGGCGAACCTCGACTATCTAAGAGGGCCTTCTGACACCTCCCTCTTGATCTACTATAATGATCATTCCTCTCGGCATGTTTAGGACAAAGAGGTATATTTTTGGTTGTACTTTTTCATTTTAAAGATTAACTCAAAAATATTATTTTAACGGTTATTAATTATTTTATTACAAGAACGATTACCCATTAAGTCTATGAACCACTTGCGGAAAATCTTTGAATTATTTATACCTGCGGCGGTATGGTTCCATGAGACCGTTGTTGGATCCGGACTTGTCAGACTATGTTGTATTGGTTACAATACTATAAGCCACGACATACAAGGGGAATTTTCCGAGAGGTGGCACAAGGAGACGTCTTCTTTCTACTTTTCTGTTGGGGAGATGACGATCACACTTGATGACGTTTCTTGCTTGCTCCATCTACTTATAAGAGGGAGGTTACTTAACCATCACAAGGTACCATGAGCTGAGGCGATTGAATGAATGGTCGAGTATCTGAGAGCTGATCCATATAAGGCAGCTGAGGACTACAAAGTAACTAATGGGTCGCATGCAAAGTTCTCCTCCCTGAAGGAACTATATGAAGAACACTTGGTTGTAGCAGCAGGGGACGAGGATGAGGGTGACATGGTTTTTGTTCAGTACCACCGAGATTTCACTTTACAGTGTTACTTGATGTTCTTGGTTGCCACGTCCATCGTTATGGACAAAAGTGAAACCTACGTAGATGTGACATATCTCCGATATTTTATGGATTTGAGTACAGTTCATGATTGGAACTGGGGGCCCTCCATTTTGCTATACCTCTATCAGAAGCTGAATGAAGCTTCAAACTGGAGGACGAGGCAGCTCACTGGTTCTTGCAGACCCCTCACAATACCTTTTCAACTATTACATTTAATTTGTTTTTTTTATAATTTGTACTTAAATATTCTCTGATTTATGTTTCAGAGCTGGATAATCTCTCGCTTCCACCGCATTCATGGTTTCGAGTGTGATTCGACTTGTACTCACAACATGCCAAGGGCTGCAAATATGTCCTCCATAGAGGAAATCATAAAGTTTCGCCTTACCAGATGTATCTTGATCATACTAATCATGATGACATCAAATGGACGCCATTCGAGGATTACAAAGATGTTTTCCCATTCAACTGCGTCTCATTATACTCCAGGTGGCTAGCATGTGGATCGAATCTTATGGTCAAGTATCTTTCAGAGCGGTGCATCCGACCGTTTGGCTATGTGTAGAAGATACCTAGATCTCCTTTTCAGGCTGCTCCCGACACCATTTTCCACCGGGAACTCGATGACATCTTTCAGGATTGGGAGAATCATTTCGTGCCACAGGAGTATCAGATGATACTGGCATCCCAGAGTTGACATTATGTAGAGGGATACGTGACATGGTTCTTTAACATGTCACACCCTATCATGACACCGGATGATCCAAGGCGTCCACCTAGGCCAGCTCATGAGGAGCTCTTAGAGAACCAACAGGCCGAGGATGACCATACCACTGATCTCTTGCCGATCTGTCAGCGGATACACCCACTTGGGCACGAGGCATTTGATTCCAGGATTATTGAGAGGGGAGGTCCTGAGGTGGTTGCCATCGTTGGGAGGATGGTTACGAAGGCATCGAATATGGTGCAATATGGGAGTCAGAAGAGGTCATAGGGGGTTAGGATTAGGCATACACACTAGCAATAACCAATGTTATATGTTATGTTTTTTACTGATGTAATATTTTGACATTACGCACTTTCTGAACAACTTATGTACTATATTATGTTTCCCTATTTCTGTTATCTAATCTAATTGTTATGTTCGCTTCATTTTTTGTCCAAATCGTATCAATTTATGTTTGATCGATTGTCCGTTTATTAGGTAGAGGTACTGATGATGTTTTAAATAAAAATGACATAAACAAAGATAATTTCAGATAAGCATATCCGAAACATCTGTTGACATAATCGCAGGTGGTTTCGGATATA